ATGCCAACATAGTCATTTGTTCATTTGCCTATTGGTGAACATTTGAGTCATTTCTAACTTGTGTCTATTACATTATCCACCTGCATGTCTCTTTGCATGGATGTAAATTTAACTTTTTAGGAAACTGGCACTTTTTTCATAATGAATATCCCATTTTGCATTTCCAAGAGCAGTGACGTGAGAGTTCAGTTGCTCCACATCCTTGTCAGTCTTTTTTTATTATCATTATTTTTTAACTAATACAAAAAAACATAAAATTATGTATATTAACGCAGTATTAAGTGATATTTTAATATAGGTATATTGTATACTATTTAAACCACATTAAACATCTGTCTTCTGAACATTTATCATCTTTATGGTGAAGGCTTTAAAATCTTTTCTTTAGCTTTTTGAAATGTACCTTATTCTTACCTTTTGCCACCCTACTGTGTAGTTGCACACCAGAACTTCTTTCTCCTAATAAAAAATATGGGGAGAAAAGGACCACCTTGCTCCTAACTGCAACCTAATACCCATTGATCAACCTTCTATCATTATTCCCTCCCCCTTACTCTCCTTAGTCTCTGGTAATCACTGTTCTACTCTCAACTTCTATGAGTAGTGTCTACATATAAGTGAGATCATGTACTTGTCTTTCTGTGCCTGGTTTATTTCAGTATATATGATGATCTCCAGTTCCATTCACATTATTGCAGATGACAGGGTTTTATGTTTCTGAACAGTATTCTATTTTTATATTTACCATGTTTTCTTCATTCATTCATCAGTTGATTGATGGTTATCTTGTTTACAGTTTTTTAATATTTATTTTTTAGGTGTAGTTGGACACAATACCTTTATTTAATTTATTTATTTTTATGTGGTGCTGAGGATTGAACCCAAGGCCTCGCACATACTAGGCGAGCGTTCTACTGCTGAGCTACAACCCCTTGTTTACAATTTTTGGCTATTGTGAATAGTGCTGCAATGAACATGGGAATACAGATGTCTCTTCAGAATTCTGATTTCACTTCTTTGGGATTTATCCCCAGTAATAGAATTGTTGGATCATATGGTAGTTCTACTATAATTTTCAAGGATTCTTCATATTGTTTTCTTTTCTTCATAGGTCGATAGCTTTTACCTTTGATTTACATTTTCCTGATGATTAGTTACGTTGAA